ATGTCATGCCAGAGAGCGACGAACGTGAATACCACCAGGAAATTGAAGATCTGGCGTGCTTTGGAGAGGAGGCCTGGCGAGGATTTGTTCGCACCTCCCGAGCGCGCTCCTCCACCCAGAGGTACGTAGAGATAGCGGACGATCCAGCGGTTAAAGGATCGGTGCCAGCCGCGCCAGAAGGCAAAGGTAGAGTAATTGTTCGACACGCAGCGCACCATATTCTCGGGGGGGTCGATGCCGTCGACCAAGGCCCAGAGGCGGAAGAACCGCCAGGGAATGAGGAGTTTGAGCCAAATGATATGTAGATTGAAATAGGCGAGCATGCTAAGTTGTCCGGCTGAATACAGGGACCAATCGGGCGATGCCTGGGAGATAGCCAGGGCGTATATATAATGAAGGATTAATTCCATGCTGAGCAATGTCAAGAAGAATCGGACGCCATATAGAACAGTGTGAGTCTTTGTGAGGGACGGTGGCGGATATCTCTGCTGAGCGATATAGTCATTGAAGGTCAGGATTGGACCGGTCAAGTACAAAGGCGAGTAAAGGGCATAGGCGACATAATTGCGAGCATTGAACGCAGCCGGTTCTGGCGGAATGCTCACACGATCACGCTCCGACAGCGCTGATGGATCGAGCTGTTTCTTCTTATGGCTGTCAGTTATAATTCACAAGAGTCTGTGTTCAAGCATACTTCAATTGCGCTCGCCGCTGGATAATCCAGGCTCCAGTAATAATCCATATTGAAACTGATCAACCGCAGGACCGTCAGGTTGAAGAGTATCTCCCATCGGGGCATTATGCCTCCAAATCCATCGATGTGCCTAGCCCATTGCACCAAGGGAGCTTCTCCTTCCCCACCTGCCGTGAAGAAAGTGGCCACGCGCTCAAGCGGGTACCCGGCACAAAGCTCGTTGGAGAATAAAGCGGAGATGTTGAATATCCAGGTGGCCGCGGGAATATATTTCCTAGGGAAAGACTTGGCAATCTTGTAGTTCAAGTACAGGATCACGAGGACCTTGATTGCCGACACACCATGGAGCGCAGTTATGAACACGAGAGCAAAGTAATAATCGAATCGCACCCGGCGATCCAGTCGAGCGTCTCCAGTAGCCACCGGATCGGCGTTTCGAGAGACAGAGCTGACATCGGACCGCAGCAGATAGCGCTCATAGACGCGACGAAGTAATGGATGGGCGACGAGAAGGATGAGAAGGTAGGGAATGTTATCACGAAAGTTTGAGAATTGGGCATCGGAGTTGTCCTATTCAACGTGGCAATCAGTATCATGGAAAACAGTAGATATGCAGCCAATACTCACCACCTTACGGCCAGGTATCCAGCCTGGCGATAGCAAATGTTCATAAGCAGGATAACCGGGATGACTCTCTAGAGCATTTGATCAGCACGGGTCTCCAAGCTCCCCGCAGACTCGCAACCACACGCCGTACCTTTCGAAGCATCAATGACAGTCTTGAACATCATAGGTACCACGGTTAAGAAGACAAAGTAGTAAAAAAAGAATTCAGGCGTTCGCCAGTTCGGAGGCGAAGCGCCATTGGCGATGACATTTGCGCGAGCATCTTTCGCAGACGGGGGTCGCGTGTCAGCAGCGGCCTTTAACGAGGTGGTCGCAGATGCGGTGAAACGAGTGTCCAGGGTATCAAGAGAGTAGAGTCTCCGGAACCAGGAAAGGATTGAAGTCATCTTAACACAAGCATAGCGTGCCCGGACCCATGGACAAAGGTGCGGAGAGAAGAGGATGATGGATTGCGGAGAGCAGTCGGAGGTATCGTTTGGGAGGGAAACGAGCTCAGGGGCGGAGTTGGCCACAGATTACCTAGGCTAGGTACAGTAGTCAAGTATCACGAGCTTGAGTTGCCTATGATTATATCAGGGGATGTACTACATAACTATCTACGGTTTGGAACTGTAATACGCCTCTTAAAGCTTAGTTCTTCGACGTCACTACAATTGCAAGCCAAACCTCCAGCTTTCTATCTGCGATCTTGAAGATCCCATTGCTAATGATGAGTAAGGTACTTGCCGAACACCTTGGTTATCATTGGTCAGTTTCAGTTCCTGACCCCAAAAGGCGCTAGTAATTGAGCTAGCCTAAAATGGAACAAGAATGCTAAATTTGGAGGTAGCCTTGACGCCCTGCAGCCTGAGGCATGAACGTAGCCAGAGCCCCACTTGATCGCCACAATGAACATCGTCCCGATAGCTACCTAGGTATGGAGATATGACCAGACAAACACTCCAAGGATACCACACTAGCACGACCCTGTACCACAGAATAAGAACCGTAGCCTTTGTCAACATGGCATCGCGGCGAGTACTTCTACCCCGATCCCTCCTAACTTCCCAGTCGCGTTTCGTCTTTCCTCTATCTTGCTACGTCATCTGAAGTCTTGGCACGTGACTGACATGTATCAGACTGCATTCAGAGTCCACGGCACTGTGCAAGGCAAGTGTTTCACTGGTTCTCCTTGAGGTCCTAGCAGCGTGATTCGCGCTTCGACATTTATTACATTGAATGGTTACTAATTCAATCAACGTTTCCAGGTGTCGGATTCCGGTAGGATGATGATGAATCTGTCTACAGAGTCCTTCAGCATAGACGCATTTCTAACTCATATATTCTGAGCTCTAGTGACTTCACTCAGAAGCGTGCAGTTGATTACGGGTTGAAAGGTTGGGTGAAGAACACTACTTGTGGAAGAGTTCGTCCCCAACCCCTAAGTTGCATACACATCGGCAGGCACTAAGGTCATGACAACAGGTTGAAGGAGAAGCCCAAGGTAACGACGAGACACTCCAGAAGTTCTTCAAAGACATCGACAAGGGACCACGTCTCGCACACGTAGTCAAGGTCGAAAAAAAGGATCTCGGTCCAGAAGAAGGGGAAGATCACTTCGCTGTCAGACGAACTTCCGATTCGGTCTTTGAAGCTGCTAAATGATTGAACTCAATGTCTGGTTGACCAGAGCTCCCAGTCTTCGTCTTTCAACTAAATGAAATTCTCCAATGAGCTGCTTGAATCTGTGCTGGGCGTATTTGAACTCCACCAGGCAATGACTGTGAGAACATTAGAGAGGTATAAGTGGATGTAATAATGGTCGATCTAGTCATGCCCCTGTAGGTCAGGGTGACGAGAATACTTCGGCCAACGGGATTCCCTCCAGTTCAAATTCATGGACGGCAGACCAATGCGTATATGGAGCGCCTCAAGTGACGCAATGGGTCACCGAGAATATTTAGCAGTAGCAAAACAGGCTCCGAAAACCGAACACCGAGCGCGTTCGAACTTACGTCCCGATTTTTCTTCGGCCAGTAAGGTAGCTCACTGTAGCTAACGTAATTCCCGGGTGAGTCGGCCACCCGGGTCAGCCGGCCATCTCTGTATTCCATATAAAATGGCACCCTTCAAGGCTTTGATATCTCAACAACCAAGCACCTAGAGGGTCTAAGTTTAGGTATAAGGTATAGTATAGACATATAAAATCATACTTACAAGCCACAGCCTCCTAGTATATGTATATACTTAAGGTAACATAAATTACACCTGTATTTTTGGTAAAATTAGCTTATTAGACATTCAGAGAGAGAAATAGTATTCTAAGGCCTTGTGAAAGAGTATTCATATGCTCTAGACTATATATACTCTGAATATCTTACTTACATGAATAGCATATATGAGCATGGTCGGGATATCAAAGTCTTGAAGGGTGCCATTTTATATGGAATACAGAGATGGCTGGCTGACCCGGGTGGCCGACTCACCCGGGAATTACGTTATCTGAAAACCGGGCGGGCTGAGTCATTCGCCGTCTGACAATCCCGGCTTGCTCCGAGGTCACATGGCCCGATCCTGTATTTTACGAATATACGATATCGTATTCAGATGTCAGAAACGAGGTTATGCCAGTATCGGCTTCGCAAGTTCTCTTGCCATAGGGATAATGGGAAGCATGTACAATTTGCTTCTACTTCGTCGAGGGTCTGCGGCTGACGAAGTGGATCCTTGATATTGTTTGAAGTCCAATTTTCAGTGCTGATCATGGTGTTGTCGTGGTATCAATGGGCGGCTTCTCTGTAACTTCGACGTTCATTCTAGCTCTTATCAAAACTGGAACCCGTCCGCTGGTTCTTCAGGCCCCCCCATTAACGTAATTCCCAGGTGAGCCGGCCACCCTAGCGAGCCGGCCATCTCTGTATTCCATATAAAATGGCACCCTTCAAGACTTTGATATCTCAACAACCACGCATCTACAGGGGCTAAATCTAGGCATGAGGTATATTATAGTTATATACTTATAATCTATATCCTCCTTGTATATATATACATGTAGCTAACATAAAATACACCTGTAATTTTAGTAATTTTAACTTCTAGATATTAAGAGAGAGAAATAATATTTTAGCATCCTAAGAAAGAGTATTTATATACTTCAGACTATATATATTCTAAATATCTTACTTAGATAATAGCATATGTGACTATGGTTAAGATATCTAAGCCTTGACAAGTGCCATTTTATATGGAATACAGAGATGGCCGGCTCGCTAGGGTGGCCGGCTCACCTGGGAATTACGTTAGAACTCGTTGCTGACTCTGTCGGTTTCCACCATCCATACCAATACGAATCGCGCTCATCTAAGCCTCGTTGATATTGGTGCGGCCTATCAGTTAATGTGCGCAATGATGACTGAAATTATAGAGATTTTTATGGTGGAAAAAATTTTCTTGTTTCATTCCAGATGATTGCCCACTGTTTTTGTTTGGTTCCGCGTGGCTTCCGGTTTTTGCCATATATAGGACTTTACAAATATTTGGACGGTTGAGTATAAAAGGACGTGATTGTAGAGACCATAAGCTGTAGTCGTCATTCAGATATCCAAACACTCAAACAATACGAAGAAGTCATCATATCTATTCTCTTCGAGGTTCAGACATCCTTACCTTACCGTCCCACGACTGATAACTGCCTTTCCATATGAACTCGATAACAGCAACCATGCCGTTACGGGCTACTGCACTTCCCAAACCATATCTCCGGTTTACTATCCGGACCTACGCAAGTGCAGTGGCTGCATCACGATGCAGTCGCCCCCTGCTAGCAAGCAGCAACCAATTCCAGTTGACCACAAAGCGGCCCATCTCGTCAACGCCGCAGACACAAATCAAAGACTACTTCCCTCCGCCCAAGGCTCCTCACATCAGGGAGGTTGAGACGGCCTGGGTTCATCCTATGTATGTGCTTTTTGATCGATGTTGACTTTCCACACGCTCCGTGCTGACAGTTCCCAGTTACACCGAAAGCCAGATGCGCGCTATTCAAATAGCCCACCGAGAAGCCAAGAACTGGTCCGACTGGGTCGCGCTCGGGACAGTCCGTATGCTCAGATGGGGTATGGACTTGGTGACCGGGTATCGACATCCCAAGCCGGGCCAGGAGCACGACGCCAAATTCAAAATGACCGAGCAGAAGTGGCTTACTCGATTCATTTTCCTCGAGAGCGTGGCTGGCGTGCCAGGCATGGTTGGAGGCATGCTGAGGCATCTGCGGAGCTTGAGACGAATGAAGAGGGACAACGGATGGTGAGATCCCAATCTAGTGGTCAACTTTCGGCAAATGTTGTTGCTAACAATCACCAGGATTGAAACTCTTCTTGAAGAGGCATACAATGAGCGCATGCATTTGCTTACCTTCCTCAAGCTTGCTGAGCCGGGATGGTTCATGCGACTCATGGTTCTCGGAGCCCAGGGCGTCTTCTTCAATGGGTTCTTCATTTCATACCTGATCTCCCCACGCATCTGCCACCGATTCGTCGGCTACCTTGAAGAAGAGGCCGTCCTCACCTACACTCGGGCTATCAAAGACATTGAGACAGGAAAGCTGCCCGATTGGGAGAAGTTGGATGCTCCCGAAATCGCCATCCAGTACTGGAACATGCCTGAGGGCCAGCGCAAAATGAAGGACTTGTTGCTGTACGTGCGGGCCGACGAAGCCAAGCACCGCGAGGTCAACCATACACTAGGAAACCTTCAACCGAATGCGGATCCGAACCCCTACGCAGCCAAGTACAAGGACCCCTCCAAGCCTCATCCGACAAAGGGAATCGAGAATTTGAAGTCGACCGGATGGGAGAGAGAAGAGGTTATTTGATTCGTTCCCTTTTGAATTTTCTTGTCGCGTCTGTTTCCAGCATTTGAAACCTGCATGTGATAGATGGCCTGTCTTTTCATTCCGTGCTTCATTTTGTTACCGAGGAGTCTCATGCGGGTTCATTCGTTTTACTGGTCTGATCAGTGTTTTTCTCTTTTGTTTTTTCCCAAGGAGCATGGAGTTTAGTGATACCTAGTCTAGGCTGCATTACAGCGCTTCTCCTCTCTCAACAACGTCTGAGTATCATTGTCGTTGCAATCTTCTCCTCGATCATTCTAGAATCAATACACTTTAGGATGCATGTGCCTTACGATAGCGATCCGCGCCGAACCTCTGGACCGACGGAAAGCTGTCGAATGCGGGGCAAAGGGACGGGGCAGCACTAGACCTGTTTTGGCAAAGTACCAACAAAGCCACAAGGATAGGCGGGTGTGCCTGAGAGTATAAGACCAACAGCGATCGAAGTGAGACACAAGATAACGGACAGAAATCATCGAGGAAAAACAGAGAGACAATGACAGTTCCTAGTTGAGTATTGTGCCAGTTATCAAAAGACATGAAATTGGGAGTTGTTATAAATACTTCGAATCGCCATGATAATCGACGAGTTGGCTCTCAGACTATCGACCCGCTCGCCCCTTTAGTGGAAAAAAGCCCCTTTTGAACCTCGAACGATTTATTGAGCGTCTTGTCGATCGTCTACGACTGGCACACACTGACCAAGCAATAATAATCTGGCCAACGGCCGATATTAACGTCTGATCTCCAAAAAAAAATACGGGACCATTACCGGCTTGATAACAACCTGTCCTCTCCACGTCGTGTGAGATATCGCCCTATCAAACCGAGTCCGATCCGTTTCTAGATCGATACTTTCAAACCGAGGGAAGAAACCGGCTATCCAGAGTTCAATATTCAGCAAATATGGACGAGACTATTGATTCAGAATCCGTTCTCGCCCCTGTGAGGGCCTCGTCGCCGTCCCCTTCCATCCCAGCAACGCCTGCGATCTCCTCGTGTCCATCCCCTGACCGTACCTTCTCCACTATCTCGTCCCTTTCAGCCTCGTCCGCCACATCCGCCGATGCCAGATCCTCGATTTCTGTCTCTTCGAGACGACATGGGTACATCCGACCACAGGGGGCCGAATTCTCCGAGTCGGCTAAGAACCGGGAGAGTGTGATGAGTCTGGGGAGCATCGCTCACCTGCAGTACTATTTCGCCAGAACCGGTCTGCTGGAAGGCAAGGGTGGCCATGCGCGCGAGTGGAAGAAGAAGAAAAAGCCCGAGGAGGAGCCTCGGCTCCTGTTGACGCCTAATGCTCGGTTCATCGATGATTTGACGGAGAGCCCGACGGAGGAAGATGGTTCGGATATTGGTGAGGAGGACTTTGAAGACGAGATGATGCTCCCGCCGACCGTTAGCACGTACAGTGTTAAGACGCATCATATTACGCCTCCGCCGGATGTGCCGGCGCTACGGAGGGATTTGCTAAATGCGGTGGACAAGGCTGAGAAGAACATCAAGGACCTGGAGTCGCAGAAGGAGCCCCGGCCGGAGATGGTGCCGCCCCGGATCAGTGTTTCTCGAGAAGATACAGGAATGATTTCGCGGCCAGGCACGGGCAATGGTCCGCCAGGATGGCATGAGATTCAAGGCATGCGCATTCTGGATGCGGTTACTCTTGCCATCCGAGCGGCCAAGGTTTACTATACGGCGCATGAGCGCCCCGAACGGTTGGCTTCAATCAAGCCTGAGCGGGAAATCCGGCAGGAATTGTTTCGTGTTCTGGAGGTGCTGAAGCGATGGGCCGCTCGCAATTTCGCGGGGGGCCTTCGCGAGGACGAGCGATCGTCGATGATGGATTGGGTGTCAAATGTACGCCAGATGCTTGCCAAAGAGGAGGAGCTGGAAGCTTTGGAAGCGAAAGAGCGCGAAAGATGGGACTGGGCCAAGGGCGACTGGAGCGGGAGAGAACGGGAGCGCGAGGAATCGTTCCTGCGCAGCTTGCTAGAATCCGATACACCCTTGCCAACGTGGACGTCCACCGATGACGGTACATTGCCGACACCGATTCTTGAACGACTGCGGGACGGCCGAGACCTCGTCCGCATCCACAACCAGGCGGTCAAGAAGTCGAAGCGACCATTCGGCGAGATCAAGTCGTACCATCAAGACGTTGCCAAGCCATATCGACGTGCAGATAATCTTCGCTTCTGGCTCAAGGCGGCAGAAATCCGATGGGAGACGAAGCTGGAAATGGACGTGATGGGCGTCGTCAACGGTACCAGCGATGAGGCCTGGAGGCAATTCGATACAGCTCTTTTGTCATGGTGCCAGGCAGTCCGGGAAGAATTGATGCGAGACTGGCGCGAGCCACAGACGGCGGTCGCTGCATGTACCCCCGGCTACTGACAGTCAGGGAGGAGGCGATCTTGCATGACATTACAGATACTGGCAGTACAGACTGCAGATTACATATACCGGCGCAGTGTTCCTGCGTTGAAAGGGAGGGGCAAGGGGGCATGGTCTGGAATGAGTGGTTGAGTGGTACCACGTATTGAGTTTCTCTGTTTGCTATCCATCATTTAGATACCCCTTACTTGTCGTCTTGAGCTTTTGCACATTTCCATTTCTGCATACGTACTTGCTACCTATGTTCTGCGAGTTTCAACTGCGGGTTGAAGCATATATCTGCCTATTGGTTGGCCAGCCATTTTCGATTCGGACTGGTTGCACACTTGACTACCATGGCCGTCGTCTCAATGAGTTTGGCTTGTTCTTCCGTCTCGGTTGACCACTGGGTTCCATGGTTGAACGGCTTCTCTGACCGACCAAACTCTGCTCTGTTTATTTACTTCGGGTGGGATTGGGTTTTGGACTTTGGTAAGTAGATGGTCGGTAGCAGACATACATCTAGTCGTACCATTATTATCTAGTCCATGGTTATTATACTCAAGTACTCGGTCTGAGAATGATAATAAGAATGATAAGATTATCCTGGTAAGAAGGACACTCCCCCTAACGCAGAGAAAATAGCTAGCTGCAATAATGATTGATGGCGGCGGCGATCAACCGTTAATCCGTCGGCATTAGTGAATGCAAGGTGAGCCTGAGGCAGGACATAGCGCGGCGTGTTTTATTCATATTAATTATTTATTGTATCCGTATTTTACTGTTTGTTGTCTGCTGAAACTATCTACCTACCTATCACCTATCACCTTTACATCTAGTTATGATGTAGTCGCACCGCTCTTTTCCTTCCCCCCTCCCTATTGATCTGTCTCAGACCAGAAACAAAATATTCAAATCATTCTAGACATCTGAATCTGCATCAATCTTCAAGAATCAATTCCATCTGCTTTGCAGGGGCTGTCCGATTGTCTCCCACGGCGAAACAGAAAGGGGGACGAAGGGAGGCCACCGCACCGCACAGCAGCAGGACGGTGGACACCCTGAACAACTCAGGATTCCCGACAGCACTAGCTCCGTTCACCGCAGCCAAACAATCTACATTCCTCAGCCCACCACCTTCGTCTCTCCAGTATCTAGATACATTCTACAGTAGCTCTCGCGACACCAGGCCAGGGCGGTCGCCTCGTGGATTAGTATCCATGCGCTCCTTATTCTCCAGTTCGACTGCCTCCACTGCTACCAGCCAGCTCGCAGATCCCACACCCAACCCCGATAGCAACAACAGCAACGACCCTTTCGCGTCGCAGATATCCTCGCCGCCGCCGCCGCCACCTCCTCGTCCTGCCGTATCGGTCTCTTCGCCAGAGGACCGACCCCTACCTCGTCGGATCAAGTCAAAATCTTCCCTACGAAGTATTCGGAGCCTCGGCAGTAGTCACCACGAAGACGAAGGCTACGACAGCCAGGACCAGAGCGGTCTCGATAAAAGTCTTGTCCGGCCCTCGATTCTACGTCGTTTGTCTCCTGGGCTGGCAGCGCGGGTGAAACTGTTGGATGGTAGTAGCAGGGTCTCGACACCATCACGCAGCCCGGGCAACGTCGGTCGGATTCCGGAGGAACATATCAAGGAGCTTGACAGTCTTCACCAGAATTTTTCTATCAAGATTGAGAAGAAGGGCCGGTCTTGGAATGCTTTGCAGATAGCTGGCAAGAAGCAAGACATCCAGCAGACTCCTTCCGAAGCGTCGGAGACCCTGCAGCACGGTTCGGCCGGACGATCGGTAACACCAACGGATCCGCAGCCAGCGGCATCAGTCATCGAGAACCCTGGATCGCATACCTCCATACCTTTTGAGAATATTGATACTGAACATTTGCCCGCTGCGGCGGTAGGTTCCCCGCGGGAAGATTCGCAGGAAGACTCGAAGAACGAAGAAGCGGTGGAACAGACACCAGCCATGTCTGCTGTGGAGCAGTCTCAGATGCCGCTGGCAATTGGGTCCGCGACAACATCCGAGGCTCCCGATCAGACGGACTTTGAGAAATACATTCAGAGTACCAGCGACAACGAAGCGCAATCACCTCGCCCGTCACCGCCCCCGAAAGATTTTCCTCCATTGTCCAGTTCCTCATCGAATGTGCAGTCATACTTCAACCCAAAGGGCTTGCAACGCACTGAATCAATATATTCGTTTTCCAGAGCCTCGTTCAGTAATCAACTCTCGCAGCTCACCTCAATCACTCTTCCACAACCCTCGTCATTGGCAGCTAGTATAGCTGGGATCTCAAATGCACCCGCTGCTGTCAAGGCGTTGACAGGGGCTGCGGAGCAGATTCAGATATGGATCAGGAAGGCTTCTGATGTGTTGAGTGGCCTGGACGCGGAGGATGATGTGGAGTGGGCCGCAGCTGGCGGACGAGAAGGATTAGAGGGAGTGGACAAAGCCATCACACGGTTCGAAAGCTTAGTTCACGTTTATGTCAACGCTATTGAACAGGTTCAATTGCGGCAAGACATAGGCAACGTCAGCCCGGACAGTCTGAAGACGATCGTCGTTCAAATGGACTCCATTATCCAGAGTTGGGCGCAGATTAAAGCGCGACTGAAGGGCGTCAAGGAGCAGGTAGAATTAGCCATGGAGTGGGAAGAGCTATGGGCTAATGTCCTAGGCGATGTCGGCATGGAAATTGAGAATCTCAGCCGATTGATCTTTGAGATGGAGGAAAAGCGACACTTCACCATGGCGAATGAGCAGGAAGGCACCAGCAACGGGCTTGATATCAATGAACTTGAGACAATCGTTGAGGAGACGCCATCGAATGGCGACATGGCAAGCAAACGCTTCAGCATGGGTCCCATCTTCTCGGAGGCACCGCCCTTGGGTATGCCGATTATCCAGACACCTCAGGATGATTCCCACTCCAGTCTCATGGCTTTGTTTGCTCGGATGCAGCCATTGCGGGCCTCTCTAGATTTCCTGCCCATGAGATTGTCCATGTTCCAATCACGGGCCGAGCGCATCTTCCCCAGTGCCTGCGAGGAGCTGGAAGACCGGCGAAATCAGCTGGAGAAGAGCTACAAAGTGCTGGAGGCCGATGCGGAGGCTCTGCGGAAAGAGCTCGGCGAGGACCGCTGGATTCTGGTCTTCCGCAACGCTGGAGCACAGGCACACAAGATGTTCGAGTCGGTCGAGAGAAGCATTGCCAAGCTCCAGGAAGGGATCGAGACGGGCGCGCATCTGCATAATCCTGCTGGCTTAACGAAACGGATCGAGAGCTACGAGGCCAAGAAGGTCCATTATGTTCCTGCCATTGAACGGGTGATCTCCATCATCGAAAAGGGTGTCAAGGATCGACTCACGGTGAATGGAGAGATTATGAGGCTTTTGTCAGACATGTCATCCAGAATCGACGCTCTCAAAGCAAGTATCAAGGTGATGGACTCTTCGTTGGACGATCTCAATCTCTCCAAGTCTCAGCACCTGCGGGACTCGATATCCACCATCATCACAATGGACAGCCCCCTTGCGAGCAGTGTTGTCGACACACCCGGTAGCTCCCCTGCTTCGTCGGTAATCATGACGCCCGGAAATGGTCTCAAGGGCTCAACCACACCACTGAACCCCTCAAGTAGGCGTGGTAGTAGCTCCGTGGGTAGTTCTGCCACGCGGACCACTATGTCCAAGGTTCGACGATACTCCGGACTCCCGCAGGCGGCCTCGGCTCTGAAATCAGCCATCCCGAAGCCTACGTTCTCGGCTACGTCCCCTAGCAAGAAAGACACGGCCATCACTCCGACGCCGGCGACGCGGAAGGTTTCGCGCCTGCCACCACCGCCTTCACCACTGAACAACCGTCCACGGTGGACCAGCAGCACCAACACCAACGATCTGGACGTTGGTCACGTCTACAGGTCCAGCACGCCGTTCCGCAAATCCTCTGCTCCGGCTCGTACGTCGCGACCCTCGTCCACTCTGCCGATGCCGAGCCCGTACCGGCGAGACCAGTCTGGGTCTCCTGCTCCTTCGACATCCCGATCCGTCAGTCGTGTCTCTAGCAGACTCGCCTCTCGCAGCCCGGCGCGCGCGGCATCTCCGTCCCCTCGCCGTTCCATTCTCGATCCTCCTCCATACAGCAAGCTTCAGAAGTCGGGCCCAGCTGGCCTGACCAATACCCCTCGCAACCGGCAGAGCTACGCGGGAATGTCGTTCAGCCGCAGTGTCTCACAGACGCACGATTCAGGTATGCTGAGTCCGACAAAAACCACTCGTCCTGGAACTTCGCTTGGCCACTCAGGAACAGGCAACCGACGTGTCAGTCTGCTTCCTCTTCCCAAGCCACGGTCTGGCGGAGATAGTACGGCGGTTTCGCGCAGCAAGCTCAGTGAACGACCACCCTGGCGTTGATTCAGCTTCTCGCTCAGACATCTGCAACCTCTCCTCTTCTTGTTTCATTTTAGGGACACATACATTTACGGCTCGCTGGTTCTTTGCGGTGGCATATACCAAATTGTTTGAGGACAGACTGGGTTTGCTTGATTCCCCCATTCGCATTGTTTTAGCGGCGGATTGTACTATTTGTGCTTAGGGACTTACAGATCATTCTTCGGTGTATGGTTTACTTATTCAATACATTGTGTGATACCTTGCGGGCACATTTGTTCTATTTACATCAAATTCTATCCTCTGCATGTGCATCTATTCCCCCAGCTTCCTTCCGAAGATCAATGCATCCACCAAGTCTTCGCTATTTTCTAACCGTGCAGCCTCTGGCACTCGCCCGATGACTTCAAATCCGAGTCTCTTCCAGATCTTGACCGAGGCGACGTTATTCTCGAACACAAGGTTGAAGACCGAATATTTGTACCCCTATGGATTCTCAATTGGTCTGACGCAACATACACCGGCAAGCACTGTGAACCTACCAGCTTGGGAGCATACTCCAGATACGTCTCTCCCATAACTATTCCTACCCCTCGGCCTCTCGCCGCAGTCGTAGTCAGGAATCCCGCATTGCAGACGTGTGAGCACCGGCCTGCTCCGTCAGCACTACATCCTCGTTAATCAAGCTGTATGCACGGAGTAAAATTACCAGGATAATTCGGCTTAATATAAAACGTCCCCAAACACTCCCTCTTCCAATCCCTCCCCTCCCTAATCTCCTCCTCGTCCCCTGTCAACGCCACAACCGCAAACGTCCCAAACCAGTACTCGGCGAACTTGTCTTCGCTCATCGGCTCCTCCATGGGATACGTGCACCCGCCCTCGACCTCCGCGCGGAATTCCTCGGCGAGTACCGTCACCAAGCCCGACGGGATGCTCGAGGCGCCGTGCGCAATGGGGTACAGTGTGACGGGTGTGCCATCCTTTAGGAGTGCGCGGCGGGGTCTCAGGGCTGGGGCTTTGTGGAGGGCTGAGGGGGGAGGGGGGATTTTGGAGGAGGGGTTCTCCATGATGCTTGTTTTGGCTGGCATTTTGTGGTTGGGTAGGGAATATGGTGATTATTCTGGAGGGCAATGGCTGTATTTATGGAGTATGGGTTGCTGTTTATCTGGCGCAGCCGAAGTATATTTTTCTTGGTCAACGTGATTAGTCATTGCTTGTAGATGGCAGGGCGTGAGTCGTAAGTTGAGTCATTGATATACACAGACTATACGGAGAACTCCATACTACTGAGAAATTTAGCTGAAGATTGTAAACCGAAGCTAATCGAAGCTCAATTGCATATTGATGATCATGCTAGTGCTTGTGATCCCGAGAGCCGGCTGCATGCATATGAAATCTAATACCGCCGAACCAATGCAAGCTAAATATATACATATACATCAACGCCGTGAAAATGAGAGAAATGCCATCCACCCCATAGCAAGCCATTTTGTGCCGATGCATGATAATATACACTGAGGATTATCTGATCCTCATAGGTCGTTACCGATCGTTCTTCATCTCGACCGTACGCCGCTAGACCAACCGTCCACCTCCATCCTGCATGCTCTAGCCGATGAAGGGAAATCATGGTATCACACTCATCACTCCTTCCCCTCCCCATCCGGATTCTTGATCGCCTGCATGAGCTCATACAGCTGTCCGAGCTGCTGATCTACAGACACAAAAAGAGAGACATCAGTATACCCCCGGACCCAAAATATAGGATTGTAGATGCAGAACCCACCACTCATTTTCTCCAACTTCGACTTATCCAGCTTCTCCCCGACCCACGCATCACCCTCCAGCTTCTGCGCATACAGCTGCCACTCCGTCAAGAAGCCGATCTGCCCGTCTTAGCATCTTCACTTGACCTGCTGACTTGAGGAAAAAAAAGGGAGAACGTACAATATGCAGCGGGTTCTCGACGTTCTTGTGTGCGCGGAACTCGCTCTTCACGTAGGAGTCGCCCAGGATGCGCATCTCCGGATCGAGCTTGCGGCGGTGGACGCGGAGGATGCGGCGGTAGAGTTGGAGTGGGGGGAGGAGGGCGAGGGCTTCGCTGAGGCTGGATTTGGAGCCCATTGTTGAGGGCGTGGCCATTAGTAATCGGTGGAAGAGACGCATGGTGTAGTTGGCTGAGGGGAGTGACTGAGGGGATAAATCGTGTGGATTGAGGACTATGATGATAATGAGGATGATACTGCCGCGCTTGGAGATGCATCCCGGAAGGCGGCGAGGAGATGGCGAATCATAGTGTCGGCATTCCGCAGCGGTTACCGTTGAACCTTTTCCATTGTCCATGCAGGTAAGTTTTGCTGGAGACGAAGCATGCTTGGAATTGAAGAGCGCTGACTGTGATCAGGTTGTTAATGTTAATTGGGTCCGGGGCTATATTCAAGAGCATTGTAGCCTGACAACCACGCCGCCAATTGACAATTGAAAGCTTCAAGCTTCGAACCTTTCGGGCCGATAGCTTCACTATCGATATCGATGCTAAACTGCAAGGCTGCATAAAATGCTCCCCACCCCATCGACAGACCACGTCTCCTTCGACACCATCTACGAACCCTCCGAAGACTCCTACCTCTTCCTCGACACGCTCTCCTCCGCGTCCGAATCACAATGGCTCTCCGAGCGCTTCAATAGCACCAACACCACCACCACCCCGCTAGTCGTCGAAGTCGGCACCGGCTCCGGCGTCGTCCTCGCCTTCGTCGCCGCCAACTCCCACGAGATCTTCGGCCGGCGCGACATCCTCACCATCGGCACAGACGTGAACCGCAACGCCTGCCTCGCCACCCGCACAACAGTCCAAACAGCCATCCAAGAGCGGCAAGCAGCCGCAGCCTTGAAATCTGCACATATCGCCTCGGTGCTGGGCGATCTCTGCAGCCCCTTGCGCCTGGGCTCCGTCGACGTCCTCCTCTTCAACCCGCCGTACGTGCCGACGGAGGAACTGCCGCGTCTGCCCTTGTTGACGGAGCACGAGGCCGAGGCCGAGGCCGCCGCGGAGCCGCTGTCGAAGTCGGCCAAGTTCGAGCGGGACTCGTACTACCTGTCGTTGACGTATGCCGGGGGCATGGATGGGATGGAGACGACGAATCGGTTGCTTGAGGCGGTTCCGGGCGTGTTGCATCCCGAGCGCGGGGTAGCGTATGTGCTGCTCTGTGCGCAGAACCGGCCGGAGGAGGTCAAGGAGAGGATACGGGGGTGGGGAGGGGGTTGGAAGGCCGAGTCGGTTGGGAATAGTGGGACGCAGGCTGGGTGGGAGAAGTTGGTGATTGTGAGGATATGGAGGGATGTTTCTCAATAGTGCGTTATATACCCAATTACGACATGCATACTGGGCCGAGCGCCCTCCAAGATTTTGATTCAATGTCAATTGAATAGATGTAGGTACAGGTAGTGAGGTACTGCCGTACCTTCCATGACATGCCGGGACTCTTGCACCGCGATCTATTCGTCTGAACTTTGTCCATTGACTTCGTCGACCAGATTGGCATCGCTGCCAATTGCCCGGATGAGCACTCTCGCCGGTCTTCACGGACATCTTTGTAAAACTGCTCACAAGAGCATTTCACAGGAAGTCACCCGTATCTGCCCTTGGATCCATGGCCACCACTCCGCTTGCTGGGCCGTCTCCCCCTCAACCAAGAAGCTCAACGAAAAAGTCGTAGATTATTGCTTTTCTTCGCCCATCATCACAAGAGCATAAAGAAGAGAAAAACACATCACGATATCACCCAAACATATCTCAAACAAGAAGGAAAAACAAGTAAACTCCCGAAGCCATAGACGGAAAAAGAACCTAGCCATAGTGACCGTCTAGAAACCACGACCCCGTCCCCGGCCCCGTCCCCGGCCTCTACCGCCCCGTCCTCCACCACCACCACCACGGGGACCGCGGCCCCGATCCGTCTCCTTGCGCGCCTTGTTCTTGGGCTTCGGCTGGTCGTCCACGAGGAGGGTATCGAGAGGCAAGCTGTCGGGGAGAATGAAGTGCCGGATCGTGGAGCCGCGGATGTTGATCGTGTCTAGGGAGATAAGATCGCGGCCCTTGGGTGTCATCTTGACGGTGCGCAGAGCGGTGTTCATCTGAGGAGAGACGGCGGTGATGGTGCCGTGGAGGATTGTGCCTGTTTAATACAGAGTATGCGTCAGTCGCGCGAATGTCAAGTCACGGTGTGGCCGTGAACACCGGCTGGAGTCCAATCGCCAGGCCACGAGGAGGACCAACCATTCTTCAGTTCAACCGTCACCGTTTCATTGGCACATTTCATCAAAAACCTAGGAAAAGCCAAATGTCAGTTCCTCTTCGGGTAGCGAGTGCTCTCGTCGAGACTCCGATTCAACTGCAATGTACTCACCGAACGAGCTTCATGTTGACCGATATTAATGTGCGAATATACGGATTCCTTTTGACCGAAAACTGTGAAGAAATAACTGTAGTTGAAACAGGCCAGGTAAATGAAAAGTGGACCAGGAACAGTGGCAGGTGTCTCTGCCAAGTCTCTTGCGAATTGATGTCCCAAAAGTGATCGCGGCTCAAAGCTGATCCTGCGAGGAACGGCGAAGCTCTAGAGCACGTGATCTCGATATCCTCAAATTGTCCACAAAGCTTAACATGCATTTCTAGATGGCTACCTCTCGAGAGGTAACATACCGTCCAAATACGAAAAGTATGCAGTACTCAATCATATTGATCTCGACTCATCACTAAATGGTATCTCGTACAAGAAAAAAACCAGCCAGTCCAACGCCAATGTCAACATTCTCCGAAACAACCCTACAGAACACCGTGTCTCGCTTTAAATATGGCAATTTTATCATCATAAAACAAGATTTCTCTGAGCCTGAACGTCGTCCGTGATCGTGTACAGTCAGAGCTGGATTCGTCATCAGATGAAGTCCCGTAGTCGGACAGCTCGGAGCTGGACTCCATGACGCTGTCCATCCCGTCTTCATCCTCGCTCTCATTCATGTCGGACGCTGGCCACGGTCCGCCCCCTGGAACAAACCCTTCGCTGTGGTTATCGTCTGTATCATCTAGGTCATCATCCTTGTCGCCGTGCTTGCTCTCGACGATCTCATAGCACTTGGATTGAATTCCAATGTAGCCGATCCCAACCTCTGGTCGGATAGTCACGATATCCAAGATCTGCAACCCCAATTCTTTGGGGCTCCGATGAACAGGATTGGCAATGTGCGGGATGTGAAGAGCACGGAGATGAGGGATGTAGGGAAGTCGTTGAAGGAAATAGTGCTAAAAGACTATCAGCGGACTGCTTTGAGCACCACGTGGATTGGAACTTACCCAGTCCTTGGAATTGATTGTCATGGACAGCTCACGCAGCTTTGACATGCGCCCGCTGGTAATGAAAGAGATCATTCTACGTGTGAACATCCACTTGCGCCAACGACTGGTGCCCACCTCAGTTCCGTTGGGCGACCGCTCGGTGCTGTCGATCAAGATCTTTTTCAGACTCAGGCGGTGGGCCCGTATGATATTCCTGTAGATTGCCTCAATATGGACAATAGAGTCATACAGGGGGGCCTCGTGCAGAAAGATGGTTTCCAGTGTGTTACGGGCGATGGCGTCCTTGATGAATAGCAATAGGTAAGGGGAGACAGAGTCCGTATGAATGTGCTTTATCCTTAGAGGATACTCAGACTGAGAAGCCTGATCATCCTGATTCTTCGCATAATTTGGAGTGTTTCGAAAAGCCGAAGGGGCATATTGTCGACGGAGCGCCCTCCAAAGCTTTTCATGCCCGTCACAGCGAAGAATAGTCAATGTGGTGACTCGTGTCCAGTCAATGACTTGTAGAATCACAGGAATGCATATGAAAACGCGCTCCAATTCAAGAATCTCTAGCCTCAGAATTCGGTCAGATGCCGTTTCTGTACGAGATGTGCTGTAGCAAGATGCCGAGGGCAGCTTGTCCGACCTCTCAGGGACAGCCCGTCTTGTAGTTGAAGCAGCGACCTTATTCCCCGTCAGATGATTCGGTGAGTGGGACTCTGAACTAGTACTATCGCCATCAGAGATTGTTTCAATCAACTCGTTGTGCGACATCACTTGCTCCCCGGTAAAAAGGGGTGCCTCCTGCTCGCTGCCTTTCTTAATCGGGGAAGGCTGTACAGAGGTCTCCCTGTGACCGAGATAATCTTGCCACTTTCCTGAGAGAATTTCCAGCACACCGCCAGCCTTAGGCCAATTATGTGCGAGATCGTCGGATGCATCCTCCTGCGCAGAAGGGGCACTTCGAGGTTTCAGCCAATCGCACTGGTATACTCTTGAGGATATCCCAATTCGCAGCTCAGTCAGACGATCTCGAGAGCGATCAATGAGTACGGCCATTTCTTCCAGATAGGACGGTTCATCGATGTCGAGCACACTGAGGCTTTTCAGAGGCGGCAGTATCGATAAAGAAGGATATTCAACATGCGAATATCGGACCAAAGGTGACACCGAGGCGGATGGAAGTAAACCTGACGTGGGGCGCATTGCATTTTCAGTGTTATCATGCCAGCGAACCCAGACGCGTTCCAGGCGGCAGTCACGCCCAGGGCGGTTAGCCAAGGACGAAAGGGCCATCCATACATCCCTCACGACACCCGTCGGCATATCCCAGATAAATGTTTCCAAATTCACCATGCGAGCCACGGCCAGGGCAACCAGTGTCCCGAGCATCTTGCCTGTCTCCTTGGTCACAGCGTATTCCTGGACCCATGCCAAAGGGCCATTTCCCACGGAGAACTTGCGAGTGTATTGGGCGTAATAATTCCCCCGCCGCATGTGCCACATTGTTCTTTGTTGCGTAGGTGCCTGCGCAGATTCCCGCATACTAACTGTTTGACGTTGATTAGGTATCTGCCCATGCCGACCGTCGCAACCGCAATGCTGACAAGGTGAACGGCCTGCGGACGGAGTCTCGTGGAACAAGTCTTCTCCCATCACCAGCGTTGCGAGGCCGTACGAGAGAGCGTCAACTCCAGCAGGATGATCCGAAGACGATAGAGTGTCGGGCCATACTATATCGAATCGAGAGTACATTTGGGGAATCGCCAAAGCATGGAGGGCAGAACACGTCAGAGCGAGTGATGTTAGATCGTTCGTGTGAGTCACCTGTAGAACGTAGGAGGTTTTTGATTAATACGGGACTAAGAGACGATGATCAACCGGGTCGAAGGCTGCAGTGGTCAGGACCCAACTGATCAAAAGCTAGCTTACCTCTTTTATGATGTCCTGGAGGACATCCATGGGCAAATCCAGTAAATGAAGAGGCTTCTTCGTGGGTGCCACCAAAACCTCCCTAGTAGAACGCTTCGCCGTCCTAACGGCATTCCCATCATGATTGACGTTCTCTGATGCCGTTTGTCCCAAGGAAACAACTTGTGCAAGATTGTCAGCTAGCGACATGATGGCTTCGCAAGATGCATTCTTCCCCTGGGAGTGATATCCCGGTTGTACTGCAGTCATGGCCTCGGGTATAAGCTCTGTTTCGTCTGACGGTGATTCTATATCCTTGTCCATTCTTATCTAATGAGCACTGCCCAGGCTCGTGGTAGTAATCCGCGACCGTTCTCTTGCGCTGATGTAGATCGAGCATCCACCAGGCAGAGACCAGAAGCCCTGGAATAACAAATAAGGCTTTGGTGGGAACACGCAGGGTAAAGGAACCGTAGGACAACACGGGATCTACCAGCCGCAGGGACTGGTGGCAGGTTGGTAGGGTAGTAGTGCGTTCGTTGTCAAGTTTCACTTGTTGGATAGGGGAGGAGACTGGAAAGGTCTCCCCGCAAACAGAGAAGTGATGCGTTCCACATAAGGTTGCAAAGGAAGCTGTTCAAGTGGAGGAATAGCTGGAGAGCTAGGTTGTTTAGATGAGGTGGAGTGAGACCAGCTGTGCCACTAGTGTTGCTAAGGCACTAAGGCTGCCTCAGCCAGTCGTGACTTAGTGGGCCTTAGGCTTTACCCCAGACCCGCACGTGCCACCTACAGTTGTATGTCAACCCATTTTCTTATGCCCCACTAAATCAAGCGATAGATAGAGGTAATCAGCTCAAGAATAACCTCTTCAACCACTCCATATCCACACTCCTAAAAATGATATATATAGCTATGATTATATAGTAACATGACTTGAGATGTTGGAAAACATAATATTCCTAGGTATCTATACATCAAAACTGTCAAATGGACATTAAAAGGAATGGCATCTAAGGAGCAGAGGAGTGAACCTATGCTAATAGGCCAAACACTTCAGCGACCGTTCGCTTGGACTAATAAGTAGACGAAGCATCCACCAGGCAGAGACGAGAAGTCAGGTATAGCTATTGCGGGAGGAAATGGCCTATTAGCATAGGTTCACTCCTTGTCTGCTGTCAGAGTTGAATTCTCAGCTTGCTACTTTGCCTCATAACTCTAAAAATGCGAATGGAAAAACATGCTTCTGTAGCTGACAAGGAGTTTCACTTCATGCTTGTCAAATACCTATTTGACCTACAGATAGAAAGCCAGTCTCTTCATCAGTTAGCTCTTCTGCAAGGACTCTAAAATGGTCTTTAGGTATTGACGTCTCCGCTAAGTCAGTAGCGGCACGTGCAGGTCCAGGGTAAGCTAGCCTTACTGCCTGAGGCCACTCGGTTACGACTATCGTACTGTGAATGATCTGTGATGCCATTCAACTCTCAGTTGTGTTTTATTTTCCTCTCAGATGTGTTCTGCAATTCTCTTCCTCCCTTCTCGACTTAGACAGTCGGTACAACTACTCTGGAAATCCTCTCCCTGTAACGACAATAATCAGTTGGCAACGAACGAGAATTTCAATATTCCGCATCTGGAACTATTTCCCTTCGTATCGTCTCGAATAGCCACGTTCTGTCGATCATACCTACAATCTCGAGCCTGAAAATGGCGAACGTCGACGCTCCTGATTCTGACAGTCCTATCTCTTCAGCGTTATCGATGGAAGATCACCCCACTCCTGAACCTGACTCTGTTGTTTCTACCCTAAGAGCACTTTCGGAGTCCCCCGACTTGACTGATCCTGCTCTTGAAGCAAGGTTGTACCATGCGAAACTCTCAGCATATATCCCTCGGGATCGAAAAGATCAGACGGTCCGGATACTCCAGAGTTTTATTGACCATTTGCCGCCGGGCGGCAAACGCATAGTCGTGAAGTTTGTTGTCTCCAATGGAGACGACAAACTTCATGAGCTCGCAACACATTTGAAGACGGCCGTGCTGATTCCCTGTATGTATCTTCATTCCATATTTTACTATACAATGTTCCTTTTTTCGTGCCTACCATATTGTGGCTAATATTTCTTTCTATCTAACAGTCAGAGCGCGAGGGGGTAAAACACCACAAGTAACAGAATCACCCTTCTCTGATACAGATATCAACAGAGACGACGTCGCATCAGAAATGACTGAGTCTAGCTCGCGAAAGGATCAACAGCCCCTGAAGTGGCTGTGCCTGAAACGGGATGGCTACCGGTGCGTGGTTACTGGTATATGGGATGATCACGCTGAGCAGAGATGCCCACCGGGTCAACGAGGCACGCACATCGGGGAAACCGAGCTAGCCCATATAATCCCATTTTCTATGGGAAAATGGGAAGATGCCGACGAGGTTAGTTTCTATCCCTAGTACAGTTAAGGACTTTCTAAATAAGTACTTTAGGAGAAAGCCATTGCACAGTCCTGGGAGACTATTTACCTTTTATTTCCTGATGTTTACAGTGTTCTTAAACCATCTGATGTGAATAGCGCAGAAAATGCCCTGACATTACTGTCTCCCCTTCATCGCAACTTCGGTAATCTCAAGATCGCATTCATACCAACAGTATGTGTTTCGCCAAATCATATAATTATTAAATGCTTACTTCATCAGGATCGAGAGAATACTTATAAGATTAAGACACACAGCAGGTTCTCGAGTTACCTATTCCAACAAATGCCTCCCCCAAATGAGGATGGCGACCGGCTTGTCACCTTTAATCAGCATGCAAACTATGAGCTACCAAGTCGGGTCCTCCTTGCCACACATGCAGCGATTGCTGAGATTCTCCATGCCTCCGGGCAGGGTGAGCAAATCGAAGAACTTCTACATGATTGGGATGCAATTCGTTGTCTGGCGTCGGACGGCAGTACGGATCTTCAGAGCCTGCTCTCATTAGTACATGTCCATTAGGGGCCATTACTCCCTTGTCCTACAGTCCTCTGCCCAGCGTGTTCCCGCCCAAAGCTATGTTTGCTTAACATGCAAGTATATTAGGTGCAGTAATCCCTTACTGCATGTGCCTGTTTCTTATTATGCTGGTGCCTGCACAGATTCTCACGTAGTACTTGTATAGAACTATGATACCACTAGGCTAAAAGGGTGTCCGGACAATGTACTCATCTGTCAATAGTCATATATACATCCATATAGCAGTAGGTATTGATTGCCCTCGGCCCTCAAGCGCCTAACCATAGTGGTGCAATATTTTAACAACTTGTTTCAAGTTGATTAGGCATCTAGTCCATGCCAAATTCCAACCTGGATGCTGACAAGGTCAAGAGGTTTGGAGCACCCATGCGACGCCCCAATTTCAGAAGCTGCACGGTCTGATCTGGGGTGACTGTGTATAGCCCCTAAGGTGCATATACTAGTGAGAGAAGTCTCTGCACATTCGTGTTCGCATCAGCTGCGAGCCAGCGGATTTCCTCCCACATATGGGATTTCACCAATCTGCTCAGTTTGTCCTGAGGCATGAAGAATTTCTGCAATCGCAGCATGTGTCTCAAGGAGGACCCAACTAGGTAGTTCATATTCAGCGTGCTTGGTGAAGGTGACGAGTCGCTCGCCGTCATTGGTCCCATTAAGCCATAGATTTTTATCCGCTTGCAATCGCGGCCAGGATTCGCTCCATCCGCTTTCTATCACGATGCGAGGCATGGGAGTGGTGTCGGGACGAATTGAGGCGACTCCAGCCCAGAGATTTCTCGCTTCTTCTGGCATAAGGATCTCGAGAGTTCTTCAGTCGAGCCATCTCATTGCGGGAAGGCAGGTGTTGGCTCAACTTGAGAACTTTCGGTATGTTTTTACCCTATACGTGTTCTCCGTATCCTGGTCAAGTAAGCATATAATAATTCTATGATGTGGTGAAACACATACAGTTGGTATGAATGTGATCTTGAGATTACCAAAGTTGCGATGAAGGGGAGACACCATCGTCATTGCATTTGCCAGGGTAATAACTAGTTGGTTTAATGGCTTCCTTAATGCTGGGAAACAAAAGGTACAGTGTTTCCCAACACTGATTTTTTTCGCCTAAAGTACTTATTTAGAAAGTCCTTAACAATGCTGGACCGGGGATAGAGACTAACCTTGTCTTAATAGTGCTCACCGCACCAGTCTGTCCAAGATGCCCTAGCACTAAGAGCTGGGAATGGCCCCAACTCACCCCCAAAGTCGGATCAAGACCTAATTCTTGGATCCGAGCCAGCCACGGCTGGACGGCCGTTAAATCGCGAAGTCTTAGAGCTGTATAAGTTAGCTTATTGTTGTTAGCTGTCAAGCCATATCACAGTTTGTGATAGAGCCGCGGGACTTGCCCATCCATGTTCAACTGCATGTAGGCACCTTCGGTGCCAGCTTTCCCTTCGTCTCGGACATGACTTACATTTTCCCTAGCGGCCTTGGAGCGCGAGTGTTCAGTCTTGCCAGCGTTTGCTAGAGCTTGGCGTGTCCTCCAGGGTGCCAGGAAGATCTTCGATTTTAGGCTTCCGACGAGTGGTCCCTTAGAAACAACCCAGGAGTCAGCCAGCTGATTATGAAACGTATCTGACATATTCAATGTTGACTTACAGAATTTGATCTGATTTAGCATCTTCTTCGCGTCGTAGAGGATATTGGCCGCAAATGTTCTTTCGTATTTTTGGGTGCCGTCTGGGCTCGTTGAAAGCTAAGGACCAAACCTCATACTGTTCCTGGGTTCCGTCGTGAGGGAAAGGGAGGACATGCGACGTTGAGCAACATCTATTGATGTGCATTACACACCAGTACATGCACACAAATAACACAGCTAAGGCAGCAGCGCAACTAAGTCTAATGCTAACAAGCATTGGAGCATCTTTCGCGGTAAATGTTGCAGTGAGGGGTGCGTTACTGACACTAACAGTGTTGTTTAACATGGCAGCAGTAGGTTATCTTCAGCCACTCTTGGTCGTTTCTAGAGCTTGAGCTAGACTCTGTCATTTCAGACACCACATTATCTCTTGTAATATCCGTTTCTGACAAGGGCAATGTGGTGACTTGTGGTGTCTTCCCACCTTGTGCCCTCACTGTTAGATAGAAAGAGTATCAGTCACAATAGGGATATTGTATAGTATCAGATGGAATAAAGATACATACTGGGATGAGGACAGCAGTTCAAGATGATGAGCCAGATCATACAGGTCGTCATCATCACTGATGGTGATAAACTTATTGATGACTCTTTCGCTTTTGAATGGTAGATTGTCAATAAAGCTGGTGTCGAGGCGTATATCTTGACAACTTCTCTCTGGAAGTGCGTACATCGAGAGGCCATTTCTGAAGAATTCATTGTATGATATTAGACATGGGGCCGACTGCAGATCGTACTAGTAGATCGCAATTGATTGTAGGAGAGTAGACCATAGTCCGTAGAAGGGACTCACAGAAAACAGCTTCTTATGACCTTGACGTGCTGGGCTTCCACCAACAAGGACAAAGCCGCGCGTGGAGATCTACCCTGTCTGGGGATTCAGATAGTGCCCTCAAAGTTGAAACAACGGACTCCGGTTTGGGAGTGGATTCGTTGGAACGAGGATCTTCCAGGTCTGATACTACGGGAGATAGACGACCGATAGAGCGACGAGGGCCAACGGATATTGCCCCTTTCAACGGTTCTCTATTTGTAAGACAAGTATAAGTGCTGCCAGCCTTTGCAGAGAGATGTTCTCAAGGGTTACAGCTTATCAGCCGACAGGTAATGTCAAGTTGGATAGGGGAGTAGACTACAATGTCTGCCCACAAGCAGAGAAATGATCATAAGGTTGAGAAGGAAGCTGTTTTGGTGAATGAAATGCTCAAAATCTTGTTTAGATGAGGTGGAGTGAATGGAGTTACTGTAGGTGCCCAACTTAGTGAATGGGGAGACCAGGTGTACCGTTCCTGAACTGCCTTAGTTAGCCATGACTTAATGAGCCTGGGGTAATTAGGCTAGCTTACACATATGCCACTACTGACCTAGAGCGCAGATGCCAATACCAAGGATACTATGGGGTAAAGCAACAAGCTGAGAATTCAACTCCGTCAGAAATAACAGACAAAATAAAGAAAATAAACACAACATAAACAAATAAGAACAATTGGAATCTAGCCTGCCCGAGTTTCATTTACTCTCCTGTAGTTCCGAAGATACGACATTGCAGACTCTGCCGACAAAGCCCCCAAGCCCTAAAGGTGGTGCGAAGCCTTGCGCAGGGGACAACGCTGTAGTAGTCCCAGGTACAACAAGTACACGAGAGCCGACCTCAACCCATTCAACCGACGTAACAAAGGAGAATGAGATTTTGACATCCCCATGACTTGTATTCTTGGCCGAATTGACCACATTATTCACTTCTGATGCATGACCCTTCCCACGATCAACGACATCACTGTCAAAGCTGAAGAAGTCCGGTTCCGTAGGCGATGGGGGAGAAGAGATAATCTCATCCTCCGCAAGAGTAACACAAGTCACCTTCACCGTAGCGCGAATATTGGAAACATACGCAATAGCGTTGCCACCTAGCAGTAGAGGCGGAGACACGGACGACGTGAACTCGCTGGCGGGGAAGCTAGCAACAAATCCAGTGTGGAAAAGCGAGGGTTTTGCGGGCGAACCGCTGGGCGCAAAGTCGGCTAGGACGGCCCCTTTTCGTACCTTTCCCAAACGCGGGGTTTGCTCGTTTTGGGTTGGAAGGAGCTCAATACCGATCGTGCCGACTTGATCTTGAATGAGAGTTCGCACCGGTAACCGGAGGTTCCGAACACTAACGACTCGCACGCGTTGCCAGATTGCTTGAGCGGGGAAAGTCGCTTTTCCGGACAGGAATCCTTGTGAAAAAGACGTAGAAAACTCCGATGGCGGTCTGCTTCGCCCTGATTGACTTCTTGGGGCTGACAAGAGATTCTCAGGCTCGGCCTGTGGATTGACCAGTAGCGGTCCAACCAAGAGTTCGTCTCCAACCGAGATAGACCCGTGACGAACCAATCCACATAGAACAACGCCCTGATTCTCCCTTGCGTTCTGCTCCATCGACGTAGAGTAGACTTTGGATGGGGGAATGGTAAACACTTCATCGATGTCGAACAAATTAGCGGGAATATCCGTATCTGACGGTGTCTCGTCTAGAACGATGCTCCTTAAAGACGGCCTTTGAGGGATAGGAAGATATCGGAGAAAGGCATGCAGCTTTCCTACGCCTGTACCGCTGACAGCGCTCGTGAGAACGATGGGAACTGTCGATGACCAGTCATTATTCGCTGCATCAATGACTTTCTTGACTTCATCTGCATCAGTCCAGCAGATGTGTTGGAGGTCCACGTCCTGTTCACCGGTTGCGGATTGCACAGGCAACATAGCCGGCTTTTTGCCCGCCAGCTTCAGCGCTGACAAGACTTTCGTGAGATTGCCCCGCAGGCCTGCTCGAGATGCAACATCCATCTTGGTGATCACTACCACGGTGGGTATCCCCAACTTGATGCAGAGATCCAAGTGTGACAGAGCCAGATTGATTTCTGCTATCTGTTCTGCAGTGCCACCAACAGATTCCGGGACCATTTCTTCGTCACAGTTGGCCGGGATACAGAGCAACACGTAGTGAGGTGCCCAACTGATTAATCCTCTCAAAGTAGACTTGAGGTAGCGTACAGAGCCAGGGAGATCTGACACAAATGCCAGACGACTATCCTTCGCCGTGGCATGAATGTCGTCCCAAGCTGCAACATTTCCGGCCGCATAGTTGATCACGTCAACAGGATCATTAGTTGACTCTCCAGTCGCATAGCCTATAAGTTCCTGGGCAACAGAGCTAGTGATTCCGGACGAAATCTCGTGGCGATGTTTGAGAAGGCTCAATCGACTTGCCCCTCGTCCATTGTCGAGTATAGATGATGTCAGAGTACCCAACAGAGATGACTTGCCGGCTGCACTCGGGCCAGTAATTGAGATCCGAATCTGTTCGGTTGTGGAATGGTTGTCCTCGCGGATAGATCTCGTTTGGGTATCGCACGAGGTAGTCTCCCCATCGAATTCGTCACGATGCGATATCAAGCCGTAGTACTCCAAATCGGGACTGACCAGGGCCTCAGCAACCCAGAGGCTTTCTGTATGGACTCTGCCAGTATCGGCTGCTTCAGCACTTGTGTCTTCCGGCCATTCGGCCCATTCACATTTGCCGACGATGACTCTGCGAAGAATCTCGACCTTGCAACCCAAACTGGCCGCCATGACCTGCAGATTGGTCAAACTCTCGTCTAGCTCATCCTGCGTTAGTCCAACGAAGGTCCCATCGTCGGCCACGCCAATCTCATACAAAGCCCCCTGACTCTCCTCCAAGCCAGGAATTAAACGAGCCGGTTTCTGCGGGGTACCAAGCTGAGGAGTTGCCTCCGGAAGAACGGGCAACACAAGGTTGGAAGTTGTAGACGAATGAAACGGTGACGACTGTTGCAGGCGCCACAGCAGTTGAGTCGTTAATTGTTGCAGGCGTTGCTGGCGGCTCTGCGTTGAGCGAACCTGAGCCGATCTCAAGTTCGACTCGTAGCTGGACGGCGTCGGTCCCGAGGTGGACAAGCTTGCACGAGAATGATACGAACCGCCAACCACATGACCAGTCGTCATGGAATTGTAGAGGCGACGGGGCCGCAAAAGTAGATGCAGCTTGTACTCAGTGGGTCCCTCTTGTGGTTCCGGCTCCAGTTTCGTGATCCCATAGTCAGATAGAAAGTCTGGATCCGCACGGTCCAATTCCGTGCCAGAACGCGTCCGGATCGTCAGGCCACGATTCCCACTCGCCGTAAGCTGGGGAGTAGACGACCCCGACGTCGACTAAGGCGAGGAAACCCTTGGAGGGTCCGGGTCATAGGTGAAAATAGATGCCATGATCCACACACTTGTTTTGACCCGCGTTGAGTGAGCAAAACAAGAAAAGAGATAACCGTCTCCGAAAGATTTGGCCTTGAACAACACAAAAGGAAAAGGAGCTTTATATTCGTATCAGTCGTAGTTGCAATATGCGCACATTCAAGAGGTTAACTACGTGTCGATGAGCGAAGTGTTTTTCACATATGCCGAGGAGTTTCTGTATTAATAAAGTCATCTTGCGAATCAAGAATAATGCGATCGAGAGAATAAAACCGTAGGCTCAAGACAGCCACGAGAATGAAGAGGCAAGAGTCCTTTTGGTGAGCAGCTGGGAAGGAGGCAAATCAATGGCAATTTGAGAATTGAGCTACAAAGCGGACGACATCGTGATGGGACAGAATGAGTCACAAGTGCTTGACATGCTGATAATCGGCCTAGTCATGATTCCATCCAATTTGTCCACTTATGACACGACCAGATCACGTGATTGGTGAGGTAAGCACCACGTGCATCGAGCTTGATTTTCTGGACTAACATACAGGTTAAGGTATAGACTCTGGGGGTTTCTTGAATTGTTCTACTCAGCATGAAGTTCCTTTAAATATGACCTGACAATTACTGCTGCTTGTTTTCAAAGCTATTTTAAACCAGACTGTGGACCGAGTACCCTTCCTCAATGTAGTGATACAGGCTCATCGCTAACCTAAATTCCCAACTGAAATTTTCCCTAAATTCAAATTGATGAATGATGATTATGAGCTTTCATGCTTCCTGTGTCTGATTCCAGGAGATACCTGCTGTGAGGTAAAGAAAAAAGAACTTTGAGTGCCTGCAGTCATTTGATCTTCGATGCGTTGGGAGGACTTGATTTTGAGGTCACCATGCGGTCGGCTGTGACCTTGGATTGGTATCATATATATAAAGAGGTACTAAACGCTGGGCTATTAAATATCAATCTGCCGATGACTCTCTTCCACTTTTGCACTTTCCCTGAGCAACGTGGATATTTCGGGCTGTTGTGCGAGTAAAGACAGCACCACAGCTCGGGCATTCTGCCTTTGCAACCACACCCGATTTCTCTCTTTGATGACGGAGTAGATTGCTGAAGGTCGAGAACTCACGACCATTGCACCCATGGTCCCAACACTGTGGCTTTGGCCGTGAGCTGATTACTCGTACTTGGCGATCCACGTCTGAGGATGCAGGGACGGATTCGGGAGACGAATATAACGACTCTGCGGGCGCCACAATGTGGGCTGGAGAACTAACGGACAATGGGTTCGGATGTGGCCTGCAACAAAGATAGCTCAGTCAGTTGACCGCCAGTTGAAAGCTGATGTTGAGGGATACCTACGGAAGTAAGGGACTTTGGCTCAGGATGTAATTTGATTGCTGGAGCATGTATGGTGGACTAACAAAGTCAGTAAATCATTCCACTACTTGCAATTCGTCAGAGCAGCTTACGATGAAGCATATGTATGATCTGGAAGCGCTGGAGGGCTCCCCGAAAGCGGAGGAAAGGTGTTTGGTAGAGCAGAACTATGAGCATGGTTAGCGATTCATGCCTAGCCTGACACGGATACATAGGGTCAGCTTGCCTTCTAAGCCATTGTCGATCATGTGCAAGATTTGGTTGTGAGAGATAATGTGAAGAGGAAGCTGGGTGATAGTGGCTTTGCGAGCTCTGTTGGGGATTGTACCCGACTGCAAAACCAGCAGGCGGAAGCGTCGGCGGAGGCGGGTATAGCTGCTGATCGACGCCTACTGAATGTGATTGCAAAGGGTGGTACGACCGATTGTGCCAGCCATAATCTGTCATGAGTCAGACTTGTAAGATCCGAAACGGATGGCCTGGGACGGGGCGTACTCTGCGTGTTATGTGCCATATTTGGATTGTGCCTGAACTGCACCAGGCGGGAGACAGTAGGCCTGGGCTTTTTCCAAGAAGATTCTTAACAATAGGCTGATAGTAAAACCAGTCTTGAACTGTTCTACTTGCTTGGAAGGTCGAGCCTGACTTCCCAGCAATCAGAGACAGTCTCACAGCAAGTACCGCAAGATTGAAAGGCTCAATGAACCCGGAAGGGAACTTTGAGAGTTGGGAGACTGGTCTCGTTGGTGTATTGCACGGTGTGGCAAAGGCAACCCGAAAAGCGATGGGTAATCAATCACCTAATCGTGGCTTGGAGTGAGAGAGGCTTTGCACGTTCGTATTGCCGAGGAGCCGCTGTATGGCTGTCGTGTTGATAAGCGCTGTTGTGAGGGGACTGTATATGATATCCTTCTTTTCAGACACCAAAGAAACAGTGCAGCGAGGTGTAGCCAAGCCAGAGGATTTGAAAAGAAGAGCAGAAAGTTCGCAAGAAAACTAGTACGGTGAAACTGCGAAAATATAGGGTATGGATGAAATAACACGGACGAAGGTAAAGAAACCGAAGTCGGAGCGTACGGTGAATCTCAGGTCAGCAAGAGTTAGGTACATATGAACACAGAAATAATAAGCTGGTGAAGTGGCTCCAGTAATGTTCCCAAGCTTATGCTGCTCAAGGCATGGAAGTTAGAGTGAGGAAGTAGGTATTTAAGAGTCCTGGGGGATGTGGATTAAATGTATGTTAAACAGATATGGAAATAAGCGCAAATGGAACCGGGAGACCTAGACGGGAGGATGGAGACTGCGTCTGATCCTTAATCTTAGTACTAGAATCATTACTACTCCGGTCTATCTAGTACGAAGTCTAGTCACTGCCGTTCCAGAGCAAAGCATGCCGGGTTCGCTGCCATGGCTTCTTGTCATGCGCTCCTCTGCCCAGACAACCAACATCGTCCGTACTCTCTTGACTGGTTTCTTGCTTTTCCTATAGCAAACAAGTTTGTCTCTGGTGGTCAATAACATTGTCTGAGTAGTCGGTCTGCGTAACACATCGCCTGTCCTTTACTTAATTCTCTATTTTCTTTCTATTCGATTATACACCTGTTAACGGTGACGCGGGCCCGCTTCTCAACCACAGACTGAATTATGATGCCGATCAGGTCTTTCTATGCCGCGAGCAGATCCTCGTCGCAATGATCTGCTCAAAGCCTGGCCCTATGTCGTTGCCCTCAAGCCTCTGTTTACTTGACAGACTCGGGACGCCGCAAGAGACCCACAACTACTACTACGACATCGGGCGTACAGATAGCTTCTCAACCGTTGAAGTAAAATAAGCTCCTGGAAAGAAATGAACCAGGAGTAAGCGCTTTATTCGGGAAGGAATAGGGAATAATTTCAGCCCCAATAGGCTAACGAGCGCCACGATTTGGATGGTGTTCGAATTCATTTCCATTGAGCGATTCCCACAACTTTCCACTCTTTAACGACTGCGATTGGTGCTGATGGTTGATTGGGGGCCAGGATGAACACGCTGCATCTCTGTTTCTTCGATCCAATACAGACAGGGTACCTTATGGGACCAAGCTGGTAGTGGAAATGGGTCAGCCACGAGAATGGCCTAGCTGGCGGTTTCGACTATTCGTGACTGAACAGATTAATCTTACAGGGTATTGACGATCCAAACCACATGGCAGGCTCATTATTGTCTCACTACAGGGCGAGCCCGTCCAATCCATGCCGTTCGAAGAGCGCCAGGAATGGCATCCATACTGAGAGATTCCCATGCTAACTTATGAGACGATGATCATGTTTATGAATGTCGCCTTGTTCTCTGACGTGTATATTAACATACCGATTTTTGGTGTATAATTTCTTTTTTTCCTTTTTCAATCTTTAAATGCTGCCGTATGCAGAGAACTTTTGCTCAGCTCTATTTTGGCCCCCACAAAGTTAGCTGTAGCCAGCCACGGAGATATTTTGCCGTGGGAATACGCAAATACGCAATGGTTCAAGAAAACGGTTAGGTGAGTTATTACTTTCCCGCCTTGTGCTAAATTATCCTTTTCAGATTCGATTTGTCCGGGACAAATGGCGTTCAAGGGATAGTCAAACAGAGGAAAGTGGCTGACTAGCTGTCTTTCCGTAACCTTCCCCGGTTCCTAAGCGCCCTTTCACTGGAAGACCCTTACTTAGGGTTACATTTTAAGGATCACGATAGTTATCGATATGGTACTCATACCCAGTACTCATACCCATACCTCAGTGTATCTAGAGCCATACGGAGTACTCCGCACCCATAGACCGCTCGATACCGGCGATGATGATGAGACGACAGGTGAATTGCAAAGGTACCCGTTGTTACTGATTAGGTATAAGGTAAGGTAGTACCTATACTTCCCTATGGGGGCTAAGCCTGTTCTTGGAAATTCTGGTGCAAATCTAAAAGGCTCTTGGCTGGGGCATTGCTATAATCGATCACGCCATGATCATTCCATGGATTTATTGGAGTGCTTTTTGGTTTTGGCATGTCCTATCCACCACGGGCCCACAGCCAACATCGAAGCACTGGCCGCAAATGTTCGATCGAAGCGCCGTGGGCGGGAAACGGCCATCGCTCCCAGAAACAGTCAAGGGTCAGGCCAGCTCAGATCCCCAGTCCAATCACCACTCTCTAGACTATTACCCCTTTACGGAATAATATTTACAGATCAGATATTACCTGTGTTTCTGCTCAGGCAGCAGAGTCCGTGGGATATTAAACTCAGCCTTCAGAAGTCTCAGGTATGCATTCTCCGCTTACCAAGCACTTAGGTAAACATTCGATTATTACCAAGCACTTATAAACATTCCTCAAGCAATGGGAGGTCTCGAAGCGTAAAGTTTGGCGTCGGCACATGGCTAGCTATTTGCTTAGTCCGAAGTTAATTTGACTAGCAATCATGCGACCCTTAACGTCGGGATATGTGAACTGCCCAAACCGGAAATCATAAACGCTTGCTAACTGCGGTCTGCAGAAAGTCTAAGGGGGAGAAAAATGGCCAAACATCTGCCAATCTGCTCCGGGCCTCCGTCACCCCACGCAACAGACCTGGTTCGTCCCCATCTTCAAATGGAGACAGAAACGGGGCCTTCGCCGGAGCCCATCCGAGGATGCGACATGATTGGCTCGTGCGCCATGGAATAGAATTCCAGGCTTGTTTGGCCAATGCCTGTGGACTATTGCATACAGTGGTCGAAAGGACCCGCGGGTTGCTCCCAGACTTTTTTTCAAGGCTAGCAGAAGTTTACCCAGCCATGGCTTGCAAATTACCAATCAGCAGCTTTGCCTTTCAAAACACGGCTGGCAGGGAACTCTGTTCCAGACTCCGTCCCGTCGCTACTGAGTATTCAGGATCAGGCGATCGACTGGATCTCCACATGCCGTTGCACTTTTATCGATCCTCAGTGCCTGTCTGGACTACGGTTTTGGGTTTGTTCGAGTATGTTTCCAGAGCTGAACTCGAATCGAAGGCGCAGCAACGGTTCAGTCACAACCAGATTCAGATCAACCGGGTAGTAAATATTGTTATTCTGATTTCATAATCACTGACCAGCGACCGCAGGCATAAGGTATCACATTGCCTCATTTGGCCAAGGACTGATCAGCAGGAGACGATCGTCAGCTGTCTGCCCAATGTCGAAAATGTAATTAAACGGGGTGTTGCGGATGGTCAATGTATCTAACTTACCTATCTTCGCGGCCGAATTCTGGTCGTTTTGCCCACCCGATCCGCATCGCCACATGGTCTGATGGTGCATCCAGGGAGCGTTTCGCCATCTTGCTGAATATGTATCTACCCGTCCGTCTGGGGACACCGTCTCAGGCTAGCCCATGTTGCGAAGCAACCGTAGTCTTTGTATCGACGGATTAATGTCCTTGGCAAAAACCAGGCGACGAATCATAATTTATCCGTCAAACTAACATCGCCAAAGCTACAGGTGAATCCATGGTTGGGCTGAGAATGGTCCAAATGGAATCGTGCCTGAATAACGGTCCCCTTTTTAGCCGGCGGATCCCAACGGCAAGAGGGGAGGATTGAAGAGTCCAGACTCATTGCATTGCGCATTAAGCAAAGCAAACTCTAAAGCGCGTTGTATTCAGATGACCTCATGGCTCGTACTCGTACGGATTGAATGATGAGCTCCCCGTGCATACGAGCGCGACCATTCTTAGCCAAGATCTTTCATCAAACTAAGTTAGTGGCAAAACTTTCCATATTTGGTAATTGATATTGTCTGCCTGAGTGGATCCATAGGTTCGCTTAATAGACACTGAGAACTCTCCTGATCCTGGTGCCAGACTATCCCAGTCCGTTGGCCACACTAAATCAAAGCCTGGAAAAAGCAAAGCTTAAAGTTAAAATTGACGAGGCTGTGATTCTCCCACGGAACATATTGAGAGTCCGAACTAAGCCCCTAAAGACAACGTTCTCCTTGACAGCAAGATCCACTACGATACTACCCTGCGGGTGAACTCTTCAGCTGCGAACCAAAGCCTGCAGCGGACAGAAAACGACTGTGGAGACTATCTACGGGGGAGGGATGACTAAAGGCAGGTGCATAGGCTGCAGGAATTGCAGGACAGACGAGTCTGATTTGCTAATACCTGCGGAGTCGAGATAAGGGACAGGTTACACAACAGATGCATCCATTTTCATGAGGAAATACGGTGTCCGGATCTCCCGCCTTTCTTGCAGCCCTGCGCCATCATCTAACGTTCTGGATCTACAGTTGTCCAGCATTCTACGTAAGCAGCCAGCAAAACGGGTGCTGATCATGGGCATCTGACGTTCCAGGATGCATAGGGTTCCTGCAACCTGGCCATCCGTCCATACACATTGTGTATGGACTATAAACAAACAAATCCTTATCAGCCTTGTATCCTTGCAGGTCCACCTTCCTCTTCAAGAAGCCGTAGGTCTCGGCGAAACCTCAAGGCGCTGGCTTAGCCCGGCCAACCTTTTTTTCATTATACCGGCCTATCAGATAGGGTAGCCGCGCATTCCGCCTTCTCCTCAGCTCTCACAGCTCAAATAGGGGCTCGACTGAATTTCTCCATGCCATTCGTTCTATGGGACATGAGAACGGAGAATCACAACAACGGCGATGGATTTACGGTGCGAACCTTGGCGAACCTTGACTACTCCGTAAATCCATCGTATTCGCCTAGCTAAGGATGCATCGAGGATCACTACTCTTTAGTAGCAAGCTTTACATATCCGCCGCCGGGTATCTTCCTGATTCCTCCTTTCAGCCCTACCCTTCCTGCCGCAGTTGCGTGGGAAGTTGGGAAGACGGGTTAGCCATCCAAATCGAGGTCTCTGGCTGTACAACTTGCTGAGGGGAGAGAGGAGCAGGGTATAATTCCTTCTCTGCAGGCAGTCACGAATGCATGAATATGGCGGGGGATATACATCGGAATATCGATCAGCTCCACACATCTATAATTGACTATCAGTGACCAATAATCATACAGAATCTAACTAGTAGAGACACGTGTGCTATATTCATAGTCTTCGCATTGTTGTACTGAGAGTCTGAGACCTCTGGTCTGCCTGGTACCAGTCTGGGAGGTCACATTGGCCGAATTCTCACCGATCTTTCCACAAACATGCGTCTACTGCATGCGCGCTGCGTAGTCCTGAGGCGGTGATATCCTGGCCAAGACTGAAGGATAATTAGAAGTACACAGAAAATGAAAGGGACAGGACAACCAGCGCAGTATTAGCTTCCGAGATGATTTGCACAGCTGAAGTGTTGAAACGTACCAAAATCCTGGCACGTGGAGTATGTCTGAGGAGGCGCATAGCCATACGCCCGCCCACTGCAGCTGGACAACGCCGGATCTATCTATGTGACACATCCTCACAGACTGTTGATGCCTGGCCTTTCATCTTAAGTTTTCATGACTTGTTCGGCTTGATTCTTTGTACGCTTACGAGCCCAAACCCAAAGTGCGACGCAGATTATAAGAATAATGATTACAAGAGGGACGATAATCGCGCCTGCAAGCTTCGGGGTAGGTAGCATTACTTTTCACCTTACGTACTGTGGGAATAGAGAAAACTAGACCTTGTGAAAGTTATTCCGCAGGATTGGCTTACTCGTTGGTAATAGTTGGTTTCAAGTCCTCTGTGTGTACCGTGAGAGGCTTTCCGCAGGATCTGCATGGTTCAGGAGTCAGGACTAGTAATATTCTTTAAAAGGACATGGTGGTAAAGCAAGCTCTAACATCAGATTCTTCACAGAACGTTGTCGAATAGCTGAGACTGGTCTCTATCTATATCCAGCAGTATAATCCTTTCTCAGTAATGTACAGCTGTGCAATGATACATAAGGTGAGGGCTCCTTTTCAGAGATACTGGCCCACGGATGATTTTTATGGTTCAGATTGGGACATAATTCTTATCCAAAGAAGCTAACCTGCTATTCCAGCAGTTTCTTTTTCTATTGCTCACTGCACTCACTGTTTACATCATTGTGAGTAGCAATACACGCCTCCGGGAATTTCTGCATCCACAACTCAGAGAGAAGCACCATTGCGAGTCGTTCCCTTGCGATGGGGATTTCGCTATCACCACATTCCTAGCCGGTCATTATGACAGGAAAGAAGGCGACCACGATGATGATGATACCTACTTTATTGCCGCGCGCATTCTTGCATACCAGTTGATACACGCTCCGCGAACTAGACTACAAAGTCCAATCCCGTTCATCGTACTAGCGACAAAGGATGTAGGGGAGAGCAAGCGTCAGAGGTTACGCGACGACGGAGCAACTGTCGTCGAGGTCGACCATATCGAGCACAATATCTCCATTTCGGCGCCCAGCTGGGCGCAAACTTTTACAAAACTCCGTGTGTTTGACCCGATAGCTGTACCCTATTCAACCGTCCTATATCTGGATACAGACATTGTCCTTACACGTCCGATTGATTCCATCTTCAGCGACCCGGGAAGCACACAAAGAGATCCGCTGAACTACACCAAAGGAGATGCCTCAGCGCAGGATCGTCTTCCGGAGAAGTATACCATGGCTGCCACACCTGAGTCTGGAAACCTTGATCATCCATACCCCTATCCTGGTACAGAACAGAGGGATTCCTATTTCAACAGCGGCTTCTTCATGTATTCGCCTAGTACTCAACTCTTTGAGCACTACATATCCCTTTTGAAAGAACCGGAGGTTTGGTACCGTGGCTTTCCCGATCAGGATCTATTGAATTATGCACATCGTTGGGAGGGGCCAATGCCCTGGCAGAAGTTACATTTCTCCTGGCATCTGAACTGGCCCAACGACAATGACTTGAATGGTGGGATGGCGGCTTTACATGCTAAATGGTGGAGGGGAGATTTTGTGTCTCCTTCGGTCAACAAGTACGCACTGTCCAGAAGATGGGAGATGGAGGGATACTGGATGGGTAGGGCTCATGGGTGTGGATGAAACGTGCTGGTTCCTGTATTGAACAGGCTACTAGAAATAAAGTCGGTCTGGACACATGATTGTCTCCATCGAGCTGAGTACTCAAGCTTGAGCAGCAATACAGTGCAGTTGGTGATCGCAGGCTTGGTCAGTAAATCCAGAACCGAACCTAAATAACCAGTGGAGAGGCCCACTTGTTTCCATCCACTGCCATAATGCCGAATGCTGTCCCCGTGAAGCTTTAGATAAGGAGAAATTATCGGTAAACATAGAGAGTAGGTGATCCTTCCTCGGCTCAACTGCATTTAGTAGCCCTTGCACCTCAACGAAGGAGTATTCATGATCATATGGGAGCCCTACTTTACGTCCATGACCTCCCCTCTCCTTCCTCCTCCCTAAATAAGACTAAGCAAGTGAGTAACAACGAGCTAACCTACAAGAAATGCATGATAACGCTGAATTGTCTAATGAAGAAGAACTTGATAAACCTGTGCCTGAAACATCAGGAACCTCCCCCCAGAGTTTAGCTTCTTCTGACAGGTAAGACATTTCAGAGCAACTCCCAAATACAGGCCGTGTTAAGGAACCTTCAGAACTAGAGAAAGTTGGAGATTGAAGAGCTGAACTCAAGAGCTTCCATGTTAACTGTGAACTTGAATGCGGCATTCCGATCGGAGAGGTTGAAGAAATGGTGCTTGTACTGTAGTAAATAACCTGGTACCACTCGGTGCTGGCAATTATTATTCTGGAGCGAGAGAATCAACTTGGTACTAGATACTCCGTACCAGAGGCGAGAAACCCCTCAGCCCAGGACGGCAGCTGTAGTCTGCCAACTGCCGATGTCCAAAATTGTCCGCGCCTCAAAGTATAGCCCGCAGAGGCATCTGCTAATTTTGTCTTATGTCCGAGAGCTATATCAAAGACACCGAACTTCTCCGGTTTCCCCAACCGTGCTTGGCATCCCCCGCAAAATGAGCTGTTGGTTGGGATGTTTACCATCCCAAACTTGCCACACGGTCAAGGACGTTGCCATGCTGTGTGGCGATGCCGAAGGAACATCTCAGCTCCACTACGGCCAGACCGGTGATGGCGACCAGCCTTTGCTGAGAAGTCATCATGCAAAAGGACCATCTATCACCGGGATGCTGCATAAAGGATGCATAATAGAAAGTTAGGCAGCCGTGCGCAAGTTTGCCAGCTGGCTGATGAATCCAAACTATATTGACTATCATTGATAGTCTATTTATAGATACAGAGAGGCCATGATATGGGGTACAGTGCTCGAGGGGTGGTTACCAAGTTGTAAACCCTGTGCAGTTTAGAATACACCAAAGCCTTTTACCAGTGTTCTCTATATTACATTGTTGCGATAGTAGTGGCCGTAGCATAGTCAGAATGAGTATAACCTTTCATTATGAGAGATCAACTACATCTCATGGATGGCTTATCTTATCATTGATATCTTGTTATATGTCTCTTGCACTTGAGGCTTTCAGATGCTACATAAAGTGCGACTAAACTATATATAATTCATGGTTCATGTTCACTTGCTTTAGGTTAAACTGAGAGTCTCTAACAAGGATGCCTGTTCACTGTCTGTGAGATCTACTCCATCCAGAGGTATCTCATGGCTTTAACATCACCCATAAACCAAACCCATCTGCTCTTACATTTAGCAATTATTCATTTAGCTCTTTGACCAGTCTGGTGATGTGTCTCCGGTCGGTTACCTACATCTTCCCCTCCAGCAATGGAAGATATGGCCAGAAGCACACTGTAAAGAAGGACATTATGACAGATCACTAAAGACGCCATTGGAGGCAACTAGTAGTGAGGAAGTCATATGCTAAAGCAATCTGGACAGGACGTCGGCTTCAACCTGGGGACGCCTGGCAAACATTTTCTCCGTCAGTCTGAAACTCTGCGAGAAACGCTACAGGAGAGTATATCTTTACTTTAATGGGGATGAAGATGACAGATACAGCAACTTTCAACGAGGTGACGAATTGACAGTTGACCTAGAGGAACTTTGCATAACGTGCAACTGCGCGCAGTTTCAGCGGCAATGGACCCCAGATTACAGTGTCTTGATGGCATAAGCGGTACTTTTGGATTGCGAAGACATTCATAGGATAAGTGGCTTAATACTTCGCACACAATTGATTCACTAAGAGCAAAGTCCCGTCCGATGAACTGGAGCTTCTTTATTTTGACTCGCTTGATACATCAACCGATCCATCCGCGCAGGAGGCAATCCCGAATTTTCCACTCCTTAGCATCAAGTTCAACTAATATTATGGAGACTCCGTCCTCAGTAATAGCCTGGGATGCCTCTGCATCCATAGAACCGGCGCATCATGCAGCGGCTCGACGAAGATAAGCTCAACGTTGCCTCGCTCACCCTGAATCAGATAGTGCAGCTCTGAAATGGAGCGTCGCGCAGTGTTCTAAACCTCTCGAATGCCCCAACGGCCAACTTCTCCTGGCTGTCAACTCCATACTCTTCGTCACCTGCAAGCATATCGTGGAGGTTCGAGTGCGTTTCGCGCCGACTGGGCCATTTTCACGGTGTTTGGCTGCCGGAGGAATCGCTACTCGGAAAGCAAAAAGTCCCTGAGACACGTGGATCTCCGGTCTTTCGTACTGGAGCTCTCGGCAGCCATACATCGAGAACGTTTGGTATCTTCTCGCATGGATCCCAGACTCGCTGCTCGTACGAGGAGCAGGTCCATATAATCCGGTGTTACTGCGGCTGCAGTTACGGGAAGTTGGCGCCTTGCTCATRTCCGGACGGCGTGATGCAGATCGTCAGAAGCAAGACACAGCGAGCTAAAGTGTGGGTGATCATGCAGCAGTCGATATTATAACTCGTTGCGAGTGGTGTTGTAATGCATCCCTGATTGCTTGCCTTGTCTGTACAGCTCGCGTGGTCCACGGCTGAGTTTCCGTCATCAGACTTCAGATAGATATGACATTGCTCATTAAGGTATACCAGATACCGCTTTTTTATGAACAGATAAATCAAAGACAACCATATGTGCCGTCATTACTTTCGTAAATTCCCTTGATCCCGGCGATGGTAATAAGCATCCCGCATCGAAGTCGTGAATGCTTGCTGCGAAACCTGCTGGTATTCTCGTCAGTTATATGAAGAGCCGAATGTTAGATTTGTCATACAGGTGAAACAAATTGGCCATTCCCTGGCAGAGGTGGCCGGGCATAGTAGAAGCCTCGTTGCTGTGCCACTTGGCCTAGTTTATTCTCAGTGGCCGTAGCCATTTGCATCCCCATCGGCATGCCTTGAGGTGCTGTCGAAGCATTATTTAAACCATCACGTCGATGGTGATAAAACTCGGGCTGGTTTTTGTAGCAGTGGTACTCGTTCTGCGTTGCTATTGATGCATTTCGGTCCGCTGCCGGAGGCGGATCACGGTTGTGGTAAAAATTGGGATTGGTTCGGTAGTGATGGTATTCATCCTGCCGAGTTGAATTCGCCGACTCCTGCGTGGCCATCGGTCGGTTGGAATAGTATGCGCTTTGCTTGGTGGTCTGACGTGACTGGGGAATGGGATACGAATCGCGAGGAGTGTATTGGGGCGGAGGATGTGAGTAATTCGGAGATGAGGGCCCGTTCACTGCTGAGAGGAAGTCTACAGCATAGCGATTGTAGCCTTGGGATTTGATGGAAGAATCCATCGCGTTTGATTGCAATGTGTACTCCAATTGAAGCAGTGAGATGAAATCTTGTCATGTTCGCTTTCTAAGTGGGAAGTGGGTGATATTTATACCCACGATTACGAAGACTCAGCCTCGCTCATGCTCAGCCTCGTTGATCTTCACTCGCACCCCACCACCCATCCTCAACATGAACCTGCAACTTCACGAAAGTCTATGGATCCATGGACCCGTTATCGCTCACAGCAAATCTCGCTGCCGTCATCGGCCTCATCGACACAATATGTCGCATCGGCAAGGAAACATACCAGCTCATTGCGGCCGTGAAGAATGTCCCCGCAGAAATCCACCAGCTGCAGGTGGAGATGCACGAGGTGGAATTCCTCCTCGAAAATGTCCATCGCTACTGTGATGAGTACCAGGGAAGACTGCCGTCAATGAGCTTGCCGAAGACCTCACCGGTCATGCATATCTGCTCGACGCTCCAATCCCTGGAGAAAGAGTATGGTAATATCGCGGCCATTGTGGCCAAGAACCTCGATGTTGAGTCCGGTCGTACGAGGCAGAAGCTGAAGATGGTGGGCGGAAGGGTCAAATTGGTGCTTGGAGGGAAGCTGGAGCGTTCGTTTCGGAATCTGGATAGATGCAAGAGGCAGTTGAGCATGAATCTGCAGGTATTGGGAAGGTAGGAGTTCTCTATCGACCTGGAACTTAGGTCTGAGGCTGACGTTGGCTAGTTTCAATGACCTTGCTGTTCACAATCGGTTGGATAGTATTCACGATGCTGTGTCAATTATCAGAGACAGTAGTCAGATACTTCCTCTCTCGAATATCGATGACAGGCCTCCTGCTTGGTCAGAGAAGGGTCAAACCCCGTCTGACTTTTCCCATTCTCTCGAGGCTATCGACTCGCTCATGGCACAGCTTACAGCTATGAAGATACGCATCGAAAAACAGGATGACAAGACAGACGTTTCCATGGACAGCTGGGACAACTTCGAAGATGTCAAACGCGCTGCTCTGCCTCTGATGTTACTCCAATCCAAGGTCCGAGAAGCATTACAGTTGTTGACGACTCCGCAACCGGGACATGAGAAGCTGTCCAACATTGATGTGCAGTGGGTTCGAACTGAGCTGGAGAGTCTGCTTGCGAGTAGCCACGAGAAAGCAGCGGCTGTCATCAAGACGAGTTCCCAGAAAAGTGACAATGTCACCCGTGATTGTAGACGACATATCGCAGGCAGTTCCCTTAACAAAGGAAGATACAGATCACAACCGACTCAACAGATCGTATCATCGCAGGTTGTGCTTCAAGATTCTCCCGCGGGCAAAGTCTCCATCCGGGTCCAGTGGACCAAAGACGCTGACTCGAAATCTGCCCGTGCATCCGACATACTTCTTCTCCTGGCGCCTAATCCACAGGTGGCCGAAGATGGACTTCTTGTTTCGCTTTCGAGGCTTCATGACGGGTTGAGCAAGCCCACAATCACCCGGCATGTCTCGTCCTACGCGATCGTCGAGACGACATCACCTATATTTACATGTGTCGAGGCCAATGACATACATTCTCTGCGGCTACTCTTGAAGAGCAGGGATTTTTCGCCCACTGTGCGAAATACGGAAAATGAGAGTCTTTTATCTGTAGGTTGCCCAGTTTCCAAAGTCGTCCAATCTGACCGGTTAGTTCGCTGCACGACTCCTCCGCTTCGAGATATGTGACCTACTCCTCAATGAGGGAGCGGATCCCAACCATTGCCGCAGGTAGGTCCATTCTGCGTCCCCGAACCGGAGGAGCATCTGACAAGACTAGTGACGGGGCAAACGCGATCTACGACGTACGAAATGCCTTCTGGTACCGAGCAACCTCTATAGCATTTACAAATCAACCCTTTACCGTATCCTCCGTCTATTCATCTCCGCCGGCTGCGACATCAACTCCGTCGCTCTGGGCGGTAGCCCTCTCCATTTCACCGTCAGCCATGCCCTCCCCGGCTCCGAGCTCATCAACGAGGACGAGATCGTCGCCTTGATCAATTTACTAGTCGGCAGTGGCTGTGACATAGAGCACGAGAACGCCGACGGCCTCACCCCACTCTTATACAACGCCTGTATTCCACGATGGCACGGGGTCGTGGTGCTCCGGGAGCTTCTCCAGTGGGGCGCGAACCCGCACGCGACGTCCCACCTTGGCGAGGGCGCGCTGCATCTGGCCATGGCGTTTTCCGGGCCCGAATCCGTCCACGGTCAATTGGAGGGGGATTCGTTGGAGACAAGGCTCGGCATCCTGCTGCAGGCGGGGTGCGATCCGAACCTGCGAGATGGGTACGGACACAGTCCGTCGGAGTTCGCGCTGAGTTCTCCACGGATTTGGTTCCAGTGGTGCTTAGCTGTCGAGAGGGTCGGGCTGTCCATGGAAGATGTTTTGGGCAGGGAGGGTATCTCAGAAGACGCCCGGCCGGTGCAAGGCTCTACATCCGCAGATTCAGATTGGGAGTCCTGCAGCGGCAGTGAAGACGAGGACGGGAGTCAGGAGAGCACGAGCTTAGATGCTTGCTCGGACACCGAGCACATCTTCCTATGCTGGAACGGGTTCTTCCCATGGAGTGTTCCGCCGTGCTGTGCCGACTGTGGTCTGATCTGCGAACTCGATGATATTAAGCGAAGGAAATGGGACGCGTGGATGGTATTTCAGGGATTGAGAAGGAAATTCATGGTGAACGATCTTCATTAGACGGATGCAAGAATGCAAGATATTCCGCATATTCAAGTGGACCAAGCCTTTCAACTCTACACAACTGCAACCCGTTTTTCCAAGAACAATCCAGACTGCTACTCCTCCTCTTCCTCCTCCTCCCCCTCTTCCCCACAACGCACACTCCCAATCTTCCCCACCGCCGCCGCCGGAATCTCAGTTTCAGGCGAATAATCCGTCCCATTCCCGGCACAGTTCATCTCACTGCAATAGCAATCCATCAGCACAACCCCCGTAGGCAGGCAGGCAGAAAGCACTCACTCATAAAAGCGACAAGGCACGTTAATCTGGACTGTTTTCACAGGTCTACGCAGTATTAGCTTCAGCACTCGCACTTTTTGTCACGGGTATGCGGCATGGCCTGTGTAGAACGCACTTATCCACAGAATACGTGATACAATTCCCTGGTAAGCCGCCAAGGACTGAAATCCCGTTTTGCATTTGCAATATGACCTGAATATACTTAGTTCCCTGGAATGGAGAGTGGGAGAGGGGGTATGCGTACGGTTGGCATTGTGTTCTTTGCTGCGGTGAGCGTGAGGAGGGCGGTTAGAGTAAGGGTCGTGAGGTACATTTTGCTTTTGCGGTTGAGTTCTTGAAATTAATTGCTGTAAGAGTCGTGTCTGCGTGCTGAAGTTCAGTTAGTGTAGGGCATTTATACCTGCGCGTCGAGTAAGGGATGTTTGTTTAGGCTTTGGCGTGCATTCCGGGTGATGTATGTGGCATGCTACCAGTGTCAGGATTTCAGACCCTTGGAAAAGAATTCCTGATTTGAATCGAATTACTAGCTACTATCTGACTGAATCGATAAATAGATACAATCATATCACCAAGCTCAAGCCCATATTGACATTCCTCCACATAAAATCAAATTATAAGTAGACATTAATATCCTTTCCTTTCATTTCTCATCCTCGTGTCCTGTCCATCTCATGTCCATGGCCTAGATCATTCACAGCAACAGTGCAATTGCACCAATAGCCATGGCCTTACCAACAGACGAGCCCAGCTTGCTGGCTGCACCGGTGGCGAGTCCTCCAGGAGGAGCGACGGTCGTAGGGCTGGAGGAAGTGGGCTGGGGAACCACAACGGGCGTAGTGGTTTTCTCACTACCGCAAGTCGTGCATGGGGCAGGGGCGGTGGTCAAGGTGGTGGGACCGGGTGGGTTGGTCGTCTCGGTAGCGGTGACGGTGACCGAGTTGGTGGAGGTCTCGGTCTGGCTGGTAGTGGAGGTGGAGGTCTCTGTTCCTGGGGGAACGGGGACAATCGTGGTAGACTCGCACGGAGTGGTAGTGGTAGTTTCGGTAGGAGGTGTAGTGGGTGTGGTAGTAGTTTCACAGGGAGTAGTAGTCTCTGTCGGGGTGGCAGTGGTCGTGGTCTCGCACGGAGTGGTGGTCTCCGGGGGGGTGGATGTGGTGGTAGTCTCGCAGGGAGTGCTGGTTTCAGTAGGAGGAGGGGTAGATGTGGTTGTAGTCTCACATGGCGTAGTGGTTGTAGGAGGAGGGGTAGACGTGGTAGTAGTCTCGCACGGAGTGGAGGTCTCAGTTGGAGTAGTAGTAGTAGTCTCACATGGAGTGGAGGTCTCGGTAGGGGTAGTAGTAGTTTCGCAAGGAGTGGAGGTCTCTGTGGGAGTAGTAGTAGTGGTAGTCTCACACGGAGTGGAGGTCTCTGTGGGAGTAGTAGTAGTGGTAGTCTCGCACGGAGT